TGGCATCAAAATTATGGTTCTGAGGACCCAATATGAGCTGCTAAATCGGAACGAGTCAACAATTTGACTCATCCCAGAGTCAGTGGAAAATGTGATCACCTGAGCTCCTCCATTTTGTGTAAGTCGGCCTTCTTGATGAATGGCCACCCCAGACCCTTCCCTGGCCTGGGAAGTTCCAGAAAGAGCTGACCCTAGAGAAACACACCCATGAAACCCAGGAAGGTTCCAGTTAAGACTTATCTGGCTTCTGTAACTGCTTGCTTGTGCACCAACAGGAGCAAATATGTGACTGCTTGTTTTTGAGTAACTGCTTGTTTTTGAGGAAACCCTGTACCAACCGCCTGGTCTGTCAGGATGTGGATTTTGCCTTTAAAAGCTTTACTTCCCTCTGAGTCAGTGTTGCATTCTCAAAATCCCGGCCCAGAGAGTACAGTTGCTGGCAAGCTAAACAAATTCAGCTAATTCAGAACATCTAGAGTCTGCGTTGTCTTTCCCAGGAGTCTTGGGACCGTAACAGGTTGGGCTTGGGACCATAACAGGTTGGGCAACTCTAGGGACACCCAACACCTCTTGTTATGGGAGGTGTTAAGTCTTTATTACTTCAAATGAGTTGTTTTTTTCCTTTCCTATCCTATTACTTAACTAAAAATTTATTATTATTGAGGCAAAGGGGTGTGCCACAGTGATCTCGTGGAAGCCACAGGGCAGCTCGCAAGAGTATGTTCTCTCTTTCCACTATGGGGTCCCTGGGACTGAATTCAGGTTGCCAAGCCTGGTGGCAGGTGCCTTTACCTGTTGAACCATCTTGTTGGCTCTTATGATTTTTAAACAACTTACAAAATAAGTTCAGTTGGTAATTTGAATAAAGGTATATCAATAGGGAAATTGTTGTTGCTTTACTTCCCCAGACAACCAAAGAAAGACAATGAAACATGATTGTATATTTTGTTTAATACTTGCATTGTTTCTATAGCGCAATTATAGCAATCTTTAAATTTACTTTTCATTACAAATATTTGTCAAGTTTTGTTTCAGAAACATTTTTCCTACTTTCTTGCACATGCGCCCAGACACACTACAAAAAATTCATTCATAACACAGTAAGGGCAAATATTACTCATGTAAACATCTTCCATTAATTTCCCATAATTTAAAAAAATCATAGAATTATAGATATTGAATAAGGCTCATAGATTTAGTTCAAATTCCACAAAAGACCAAAGATGCTTTTTAACTGTGATGGGGTTGACTTTTGGTTGCAGTAAAGGCTGAAAGCAGACCCCTATCTTCCACTCCATAAACACACCTTGCAACCCAATGAATGCATTTTGGGATAAGGAGAGAACACAGAAAAACCAGGAAGAAAAAAAGTTTGAAGTAGGAAGTAGGGAGCTCAAAAATCATGGATGTAACTTCCTAACTTTCTTATACAATCACCAGGCATTATGCGGTCCCTGTAGAAATCAAGATTAATGATAGTAACCCAAAGTGTAACCAGGTAGATCCATCAGGATGCATTGGTGTATTCATATTGCTAGTATACACAGTGAAAATTTGTCATATTATTGTTTCATTATCTCCTGGACCAAGGTAGGGGGCACTCAAGTGGAATATCACTGTAAAGGACTTTTTGTTTTTGTTTTCTTTTCCAGTAACTCAAGAATCAGGAGAGTTGGGACGTATGACCTAGGTATGTGAGTGGTCTTAATATTAAAATGACATTTAACAATTGCATGTAAAGTCACAGACAGGAATCATGGGTTTCCATTATCCTCGGAAGTCTCCCTCTCTGGTTGAAGTTGGGTGCTTAGATGCATAGTCTTCCAGAGCTGAGACAGGATAAGGACTGTGCTGAGAAATGGCCCCTGCCTGTGGCTGCCTTCTCTCCCTTCTCCCTCTGGAAGAAGGGAGGCAGAAGGCAAAAATCGCTGGCAAATCCGTGAAGTCCCACCCTGGGGTCTTAACCCCAACTCCACTGAGGGCAGCCTCCCTGACAGTTAGGCAGTTAGGGGTGGCGGGTGAAGGTGGCCGGGAAACCCAGTTTTGAGGTTCACACGGCTGAGTCTGGCTTCTGATTCTGCTGCCCTGCAAAGAAATTGTGCTCCGGATATTTGCAGGATATCTGCACCGGTTTCTCTAATGCCTCTGATTCTCTCTCGGGCCCTTGGAGGCCTGCAGGGAATCACTAAAAGGTAAACACACCTTCATTAGCACCGAACTTACCACCAGAAAGCGGCTGAGGCACTGGGGAAGCCTACTAGCTCACATGAGACACCACCCCACCAGAGGTAGGTGGTCGCCAATCAGAGGGGTTTGTAGGCTTTGATTTTTTTAAAAACGAAAATTGATCTGCATTATATCTCAATAGACTCAGATAATTCTCACCAAAAATTTTTGCCATGTGTTTAAATAGCACTGGAATAATTCAACTTCATTTAAATATATTCATTCTACCATGAAAATATTTCATACAAACATCTATTTACATACAAACACATTAAAATTTGTGAAAAGGGTTTCCACCCCTGTGGTTGTATGGCTTGAAATAGTTTCATTGCTTTGAGTATGTATGCACACATTTGGCAAAAAAAAACTTTTTAAAATTTAGTATTTTTGAAAAAAAAAAAAACAAACCAA